ATAATTTGATATCTCATCCATTACTTAGTTTTTTACTTTATTTCGTAAATAATAGTTCTTCAGTAAGCAATTGTATTGAAAATCTACAATTATGGATCCTTCTACACTGAGTACTATTAAAGGTAGCAATTCCTGAAAAGCCTTACAAGAAAGGGAAGACACCTTATTATTTTACATGCTGATTCTGAAGGTTTTGTAGAAAATGCATTATTGGTTTTTGAAGGTAAAAAGATGGGAGATTACCATGAAGAGATGAATTCTGAAGTATTTTGGAAAAAAATAATTTTATTACTGATTTTTTAAAACTAAAAATTGATGAATTTCTAACCAAAATGATTGAAATGTAACTAAATATTCAAGCAAATTTTATTTATTAGAATAGAATAAAACTATTTACAAAGCCACTGACCCATTTAACAGAACTGACACTTAAAGCGTCATATTTAATTCCGCACTTTCTTTCACTATGTCAATAATAGTGCATCTTATTATAATCCTACATTAGGCATTTATAATCATAAAATAGTCTTGACTTTGAGAAAGTAGATACCATAGATTGTCTGTATTTTGCTTTTTTCCGATCCAAACTTGAATATGCGTCAATTATACTGTATATGGAAGAGTCTAAATCAAAAAAGGAATTTCTACCGAATATACAATTATAATCAACATGATAAAAATAGAGCAATTTTATGTATACTTGTAGATTTAGCTAAAGTTTTCAACACAGTTGATCACAAAAAAATAATTGATAATTAAAACTTTTGATGTCATACTTAAACAACGTGTTTAAGTAATTTCAAACTTTTTTGCTTCATTGCTTCGGCTATTATATTAAATTATTACACTTTTGTACGAGAGTACAATTTTTGGGAATTGGAACATTTATCAAATAAATTTTAAAATTGGAAAAAAACAGTAAAGCAATGTTCATGTGGTTATGTAATTACTTAATAACAAGAGCAAAATTGTGTCAGTTTATGATTTTCAAATCAGTTTTTATATCAACCATTAACAAAATTAGTATAATTAAAAGGAAATTAAAAACTGATATTAAAATTTTACATCGATATTCCACTTTTTAATAATTTCCGTCTGTTTCTAGACTGTGAGTCAGCGACATAAAATCCATGCTGAATCTAAGCTGAATTTAATAAATTACAAATATTTTTTTTTGGTGCCTGGGATTTTAGAGCTGATTATAACTATATTTGAGACGCTAAATCTGTACATGTAATCCGTTTTTCTCTATCAGCTCTACTTTTTTAGATATATCAACTTATCTACCAATATGTTTTTTATTCAGTATATTCATTAATGAGAGTTCTAAAATTATTATATATTCATTAATGTAGGTACAATGGTTTTATTGTCAGTCTGTAATTGAGTAAATTCCAGGTAAATCTATAAATAGTGGAACCATTGCCTATCAGGTACCTGAACTGACCCTTTTAATCCCCTAACTCGGGTAAGTCTCGTCAGTTTGTGCGTTCTTACTAATGAGAGTAGATCGAATTCGGCGTGTTATTTTATGTTAAGAAAAGAGTGTTTTTGTGTTATTGAACAGAATTAAAATGAGTTCAGGTTCCAGTTCAAGAAGAAGTTGTGTAAATCAACCTGATGTGTTTTACTATTTATGCGGAGAATACATGTTTCAACAAAACAGACAAACTATTGCTGACTTTGTAAAGCGAGCATATCTTGGATATTTTGGAGTTAACTTGGTGATCAGGAGAGAACCAAAAAACCACTTCAATGATTGTTATTTCTGTTTAGTAAATACTAAAGGAATCGATCGAAATAACCGCAGTAAGTGGACTTATCCCAATGTAGACTCGGCAATACGCCCTATCCCGCACTCAGATGAAATACCGATTCCAAAAACGGCTGCTGGAACCGATTTTAAAAAATATATTGCGCCAATCTATAGCCCTTCAGAAATACTTTGACCGAAAAAAAATCTAGTAAATAAACTTTTTATTTAAAGTTGGTTCCCAAGCACCGTGTCTCATTTAACTCAAAATCGGCTGATTTTAGAGAAAAAAGTCATTGATGCTTTTTTGTAGAGCGGACATTTTCCCATTGAAATTTACTTTTGGCAAGCCGAGAAAATGTAAAATGCGCAAGTTACAAGCAAAAAAGTAAAAAAAAGGTCACTTTTTCATGAAAAATCGAGTTTTCTCAAAAACGGCTGCTGGAACCGATTTTAAAAAATATATTGCGCCAATTTATAGTCCTTCAGAAATACTTTGACCGAAAAAAAAGTCTAGTAAATAAACTTTTCATTTAAAGTTGGTTCCCAAGCACCGTGAGATATCTCTGATGACGAATATTTTCCCTCTGATCGCTTTTCTGAGGCTAATAAAAGTTCTGATGCTAATAAAACTAACAGTGACTATGAGGAGACGTCATCAGTTCCTCAACGCTTCAATCAAAATGAATTAAATGATCTCACCAGGGATCTCAATTTATCGAAAAAAGCTTCTGAAGTACTGGCTTCTAGGTTGAACAACAAAAATATATTAGAACAAGGAACAAAAATTACCTTTTACCGTATAAGAGAAAAATATCTGCTACCATTCTTTTCTCAAGAAGACAATCTTGTATTTTGTCACGAAATTAATGGACTCATGAAAGAAATGGGACTTTCTGAATATATTCCAGATGATTGGCGCCTATTTATTGACAGTTTAAAGCGAAGTTTAAAATGTGTCCTTCTACATAATGGGAATAAATATGGTTCAATACTACTAGCTCACTTAACGAAACTGAAAGAAGAATATAATACTTAGCTTTGGTCTTGCAGAAGATAAAGTATCACGAACATCAATTAGTGTCAAATAAAATCTAAAAGCCTCCTCTATAATAATAACTAGGATTGTCTTTGTTTACATAATATTCAGCAGTGGGAGACCAGTTACTTTTTGAGTGGGTAACTGAACTCGTAGAGCATCCAAATAGTGACACTGTAAGCCTATTAGGCTGCCGTCCGCCGAGCGAATCCCAGAGGAGAGCAGGCATGTTGTAACCCAAGCCTGATTGGGGGAGCCTGGATCTCTTAGAAGGAGTACGGGGATTCCTGAAAGGACAAAACAATATAGGGTGTTTCATTAAGGGTGGCAAACGGCCGGTACTGGATATTTCATACGTTATTTTGAGTACACTGTACCTTACTTTCTGGGGCAGCTTTGGTAAAAGATAAATGTTAAACTCACCCCGCTTATAATCGTAGTTGCCTCGGTTGCCAGGTATTATAATTATTATTTATATATTATTCGGAAATGAATATACAATATGTTAACTTTTTAAACCTCTCTCCACAGAACGGCATATAAAACCATTGCTATTGGGCTAGCTATTGAATAGATAGAAATAGAGTATACTTGCTATCCTCCCACTACCGGTAGAGGTGTAACCATGCGTCCAATTAAAACAGGCAGATAGACGAGACGAGCGCTACTCTCTTTTTCTCTCACGTCTAAATATAATTAGGCGTTTCATCTTGCTAAGTGAGTTTGGTTAACATATTGTATGTTTCATGTAGATGAAGGCCACCGAGTTGATTCTTAGACCCATTGGGTCTTTGGCCATTTATAACCGACTTAAACGAATCAATTTGGCCTTTAACATTAAACGAATTAAATTTAACCAATAAATAACAATGTCTTGGAATTAAAAGTAACACTTCTGTACCTAAAATCAAAGATTTTTATACAGTAAAAACCATGGAAATGTGATTAAATCTAAACGAACACTTATTATAGGGCGATCAGATGTATTAAAATATTCATATTAACTACACATATGCATTGAAGGATGGGGTTATAAATAAAATGTCTTTGTTTGGGTTAGAAAATGCTGATTCTGGATTAAAAAATATAAAATTACAATAATTTAACAATACCTACATAGGTTTTTATTTTGTTTTAATTCTAAAATACCATAATCAAGCCAAGAGTATAAATTTATTTTTAACTAAAATTATTTTTTGTATCAATACATATATACGAGTATACGAGGATATATTCATATGGTACTCCATTGATTTATTTATAGTAAAAGAATTTTTCAACAATTACTTTCACCAAACTCTTCAAACCATTCATCATTATCACTTTAAAGTTTTCTTTCACAAATGTTCTTTGAGTTTCTAGAACATACTGTAGTCACTAGAGGCAAAATCTAGGCGAATGTTACACCAATTGGAATCCCACTTGATCAATAGCAGTCATTACAACACATCTGTAATAAATTACATGGAATTGTAGCTCCCTTCTGTAGATATTCAACCAAAATAACCCATTTAACATCCCAAAAAAACTGAGAGTATCACCTATCCAACTGATGAAACCACTTTCATTGTGCGAGATGAAGGAGGCGCCCTAAGTTTCTACTGTTTAGTCCATTTTAATTTCATTGATAGTAATTGTGGACCCCTTGATTCATCCATATTAACAAACCTGTCGAGAACATTTCTTTTGTTACGCCGATATTTTTCGAAAGATGCTGGTGATCAACTTTCGTACTCAGGATTTTTTCTTCCCAGCATTTAGACTACAAATAGATATTACTTTAGGAAGATAACTGATTTGATTGAAGACAGTCATACATATTTAGAATTGATGGCAGTTTTCAATCCTACCCTTTAACTTCATCTGACTTTGAGATTTTCATCTATTGTACACTTTAGCACCAAAAATATCTTTTATTTTATACGCTAAAGCTGAAGCAAGGACTGATTAAAGTATTCTTTCATAGATGACTTGTACATTCTAAAAATGTAACAATTTAGGAAGACAGTTGCATATATAAACATGCTCATCAACAGCTTGATCTCTTCTTACGTATCCAACATATTATGGCCTGAGAATGTATCATTCAGAAATAAAGCATGGCAGTACTTGCGATTCTTGGCATCTCTATTATCTTTTATCCTACTATAATTGTATCCTGATCATTCGTGTTTTGATCTAACAGTATTTTTATTTGTTTTTATGCAGATATCGTCGAGATAGTACATGGAGTCATTATTCAGCACAGTCAAAGTTAGGAAAATATACGACTGCCCGTTGAAAGAACGATTTTCTTCAGTTCCTTGGAAGTTAACTGTTTTTGTAGACGTCTATCACATCGAAAGTCCTGGTCATGTCTCTTGATTTCGTTGCTGGATGTGTCGGAGGTAAGTGTCCAAAGTATATTATCATATTTAACCAAAATTCCTATCTCTGGATATATTGTGTTGTGATATAATATGTTTATATTACTTAGTTATTATTTTTGAAATGTTTTTACCGATCTGGCAAGAACTGTAAGTTTATTACTACACTATAACCGCTAACTTAATTATTGCATTATTGCATCTTTAATTATGAGTAGTTGTTTTAATTAAATTAGGATGTATTTAGAGTATTCAACTTCAATTTATTTTCTTATATTAAATGTTATCTCATACTCATACATAATACGATACATTTTCCTTCGGACAAGGATGTTTTCTTCTGTGACATATTTCTCATTATCTGTTTTATTGTCTTGCTTAAACCAAACCTCAACTTTCTTAAATCATTAGGAGTTCCTTAAGGATTTTTCTATATGTTTGTCGACTATTCTTATATTCGGGATTTTTGATCTTTTGGTGTTTTATAAAAACGCCATTGTTTGATAATATCTTTTCTCCACGCCACTACTTAATGTAGTTCTTTCAAAACCACTTATAATAACAGAATGAAAACATTTTTGGTCTTACAAATAAAATAACATATTGAAACACTTGCCTTTAATGTATTTTACACAAATTTAATTCTAACTATAGTGACAGAATGTTCATTCTGTAATAGCTACAGGTTAATGGTTGTAAATATCACGCCTGCATCGTAGATAACCATGAATTTCATGTTTGGCAGTTCTACGAATTTGCTTAAATTCCTAAACTGATAAATTATGTAAATTATTTAAGTAAAAACTTGCCTAACATAAGTTAAGAGCGAAAGATTATCCATTTTTCTCAATGCCTTGTTTGGGCTTTCTGCGGCTCCACTTGTCCTATTACCAAAAAAATTCAAAGAAATAAGTCAACGCCCGAAACCCAACTATATGTTACTACCATAGTAAATAGGGCACCTATAGCCAACGCTGATTAAGTCTGGAAACCAGTAGAATATTCAATGATATTAAATTACAACTTTTGGCGATGGAGCCAAATTTTAATATACTCCACGAATTTGGTGGAAGTTTCGAAAGCCTTCACCTTTTTTTTGGAGTGAGGGTAGCCATATGTGAGTAGTAGGGATTAAGTGTAAGGGTTAAAGAAAAGGTCCTTTATTTCTCGGTCGCCAATTAAATTGACTTGTGAGAAATAAAGGACCTTTTCTTTAACCCTTACACTTAACCTTCACCTTTTTACATAAATGGGCTATATTGCTGTGGCAAAGTCAGTTGACGTCGAAACATCGCTGTGAGCAGATAGGTATAGCAAATGCCCACATTAGGTACTAACTTATAAACATTTTAATTTATGAAAGCTTGACAAAGATGGCGCCGAAACACTGGCTTGCTAAGCTTGCTAAGCAATGTAGATACATAAGTCAAAACTTGGTTTCTGCACTTATCGTCATCTACGTCTACTCTATACTTTTCTTTAACAAAACGGACTTAACTCAATATTTTTATCCTCTATTTTTAAATTTCAGGTGTAGCCGGCGTGCTAGTAGGCCACCCTCTAGATACGGTCAGAGTGAATTTACAAACACAAAGCATGGTAAATCCCAAGTATACGGGAACGCTACATTGCCTGAAATCCCTCATGGCCAAAGAGGGTATCAGAGGTGTCTACAGAGGAGTGTCCAGTCCAGTAGCGGGTGTCGCCGGAATAAATGCCATCGTTTTTGGTGTCTACGCCAATGTGGAAAGAAACATGGGCAATGCTCAATCTTTGAGCGGTCAAGTGGTCGCAGCCGGAGTAGCTGGGCTATTTAGTAGTGTCATTTCTTCTCCCATGGAGCTAGCGAAGAGTAGAATTCAGGTTGGTTTACCCAAAATACATATCGAAATGTCAAAATGCTGCCCGTGGGTAGTGACAGGTTATGATGGGCAACCCTGTGAGCCTGTGGCATACCTGTTGTCTTTTATGAGGTCCATGATGCATACACAGTTATATAGATAGTTATATAGATTACAGGCGGGATTGCATTCTCATTAATCAGAGTCATTTTAACAAAATATGTTTTTTAAACCAATTTTTAGCTTTTGATTAAAAGATAATTACTTACATTTTTACTTTAAGGCATAAGTTTATGTTTATTATGAAAAACATGGATGATCAATCTATATTACTATCTATATTATTGACCCTGTCAAATCTCCATTGTAACCCACATACTTTGATTTCCTTTTACTATACGGAGAATGGTCGCACTGCGCAGCTTTCTGAGTGCCTTTTAAAAGGAGAACCCTTATTACGTGTTGCCTACATCTTGGCGCAATATTTTTAATAGGTGCGTTTTAATCATCCGCTTCTGCTTCGGAATTGTCGGTTTTCTTGTTTTAATCCGACAGGTTAAAACGACTAAACCGACAATTCCGGAAGCAGAAGCGGATGATTAAAACGCACCTGATATTTTGCTTGCTGCTGTCAGTGTCAGTGAATATTATTATTGAAGTCACAGTTTATTGCTAAAGAATCAGTTATCTCACTCGGACCAGTTGAAAGTTCCAAAATAACATCCACTCCAGGGATACAAATTCAGGATACGCAGAAGACTGCTGTTTTATTATAGACGGTTGTCATATATTGTATTATCCGAGTTGCACAGTGTATAAACTGAAACATTGAGATCCAAAGTGCCGACGCAGAGTGAGCGATCTGATTCTTTAGCTGTAAACTGTGTCACAGGGTTCAAAATGGCCGCGCCCTATGTTGGGCGTGTCGGACCTCTCTCTTGCCTCGTATAGTAATCAAAGTATGTGATTGTAACCTGTCGTTACCCATGAGCAGCCATTTTGTTTAGAATGCCTAATTTTACATTGTTGCAAACTTTTGTATTTTTCTAAAAAATTACGAAGGGTATACAACTGACCTAACTACAAGCAAACATGACAGTGTTGCCAACTAATTTTAAAAATAGGATAAATAACAGATTTAAAAATAATTAAAGCGGTGTTATAAAAATCCCTAAAAAAAATCTGATGTGTCCAACACATGACTTTCCTATCTAGTTATTACAGGCTTTTTCCGGTTATTTTGTACAACCTATTGCAGCACCTCCATAAATGTTTAGAGGATAAAATAAATATATACATTTTCCACATACATCTACCTCGAAACATTTTTCTATAGATATTCATTGAAAATTAAAATACTGGTAAATTTAAATTTAGCACTTTTCCTACAATTTTTCCATTACGGTCCATTTTAGAAAAATCATGTATAAACAAAAATTATAGAGATCGATATCGCAAAATCTTTTATTTCAACAATTTTCATAAAAATCGGAATTTTACACATTTTGTCTAATTTCTCGAATACGGACCATTTCAGAAAATTTTGACACAAAACAAAAATTATAGATAATATTATTAGAAATAAGTTTTATTTAAACAATTTTTTTCTCCAAACATAAATAACAGATATATTCAATAAAATATAAAAACGGCCCCCCCATAAAGTACCCCCCAGATGTTCCGACTTTGTCCAAAATCTAATCATTTCACGTCAGGCCGAAATAAAACTTAAGTTTAAAATTTAATGTTTTTTTCTTTATCCGTTTTTGAGTTTTCTTCAAATTTCGAAATTTACACATTTTCTCAAATATCTCGAATACGGTCCATTTTAGAGAAATTATGTATAGAATAAAAATTATAGAGAATTATATTACAAACAACTTTTGTTTGAACAATTTTTATAAAAAAATATTTTTTTACATTTTGTCAAATTTCTTGAATACGGACCATTTTAGGAAAATTTTGTATAAAACAAAAATTTTAGATAATAATATAAGAAGTAACTTTTATTTGAAGAAATTTCTTCACCAAACGTAAATAACAGATATATTCCATAAAATATAAAAATGACCACCTATAAAGTACCCCCCCAGATGTTTCGACACTGACCAAAATCTAATCAGCACATTGGACGCTGGAACAAAGCTTAAGTTTGAAATTTGGTGTTTTTCTGTGTATCGGTTCAAGAGTTATGCGACACACAGACACACACAGACATCATCGCGAAAATAGTCAAAACGGATTCAGGGGACCTCAAAACGTAAAAATCCGTCGAAAACTCGAGGTCGAAAAAATCATGATTCCTATACTTTCCTTATATCTGTATACAGATAGGAAAGTAAAAAAAACAATTATCTTTCATACGTACACAGTGAAACTGAAAATACTTTCTACTTTTTACAACTAAAACTGTATTTTAGATGATCACGTGGCTCATCATTTTGATTCTAACTAGCTTAAGCACAGCAAAGCAAAGCTTAATCAAAGCATCCCGTTCCAAGGCCAATTTTATTCATAATTATTTTATTATTAGTAAAATTCATAATTTCAAAGTTTTGTGTTGTCTCTAAAATAGTTTTGTTTTTATTTTTGTTCAAAATTTTTATTTTGGTTTTCAGGTCGCCGGTGTTCAGGCTGGTAAAAGTCCAATGGATTGTTTGGTCAATTTGTACAAACAGGATAAGTTGAAGGGGGTTTTTCGAGGATTTGGAATAACAGTAGCCAGAGAAGTACCAGCTATGATAACTTATTTTGTTACTTACGAAATGCTTACTAAAAAACCAGAAGGGCAGATTGCTTCAACCCCAGAAATTCTGTTCGCTGGAGGAATGGCTGGTAAATAATACAATAAAAAACATTAATTACAAACTATTAAATATGAAACTCTAGTCTTGAGTTACCTTAAAACCAATTATTTATTCATTTATTTATATATAAAAGTTACGTTAGAACAACGTTCCTGGAATAATTTACACTGGGGTTCCATATCAGTATCGATTTCTATATATCGACTTGCAATTATCGTTTAATACTATGTGCAAATTTTTTAACTTCGTTATGAGCAGTTTTAGACATTGTGTTTTAAGAAATGTCTACCACTTGAATTTTCCCAAATATCTGCTACGAAAAATTGGTCATAACATACATACCAACACTTCTTTAATTTTTAAATGATTTTTCTCCATCAAACACAAATTCTAAATCCTCCAACCAAATTTTATAATAAATCATTTTTATGGAAAGCCTGATAAGAATAAGACAATAACATTATTATTAAAATAAACAATGACAGTGCTAAATGCTTTTACTGTGTTAAAGGAATCATGCCCTATTCCCTAGAAGTGCTAACATAACCATATCTATAGAGTGACCGCCTAACATTCTTCCATGACATATTCTCTTAGCATCCTAGAAATAATTCAATATTCAAATTAATCTCTAAAATTACAAAAAAAAAAACGTTCTAGTATTAAGTAAAATCTTTATATTTGCAGGTGTAACTTCATGGCTGATTCCATACCCCATAGATGTTATTAAATCCAAAATCCAAGTAGATGGAATTACGTCCCATCAATACAACGGCTACTATGATTGTATTAAGCAAACAATCAAAACTGAAGGAGTCGGCAGTCTTTATCGGGGTCTCACGCCCACGTTGATCCGGGCATTCCCAGTTAATGCTGTCACCTTCTGCGTGGTAACCTGGTCATTGAGGATATTTGACCAAGGACTCACAGCCTTCGGAAGTCCTAGTGAATTTTTTAAGAAATATATGGATGGTGTTAGTTTACAGCAAGAAGAACCTGCGTTTGCTTAAAGAATGAAATATTTGAATTTTTTGTTATTTTTTGGTAATTTATGAAAATTAATAAATGTTTAAATTGTATTTTATATTTTATTTAACTCTTTATGCTTTTAATTTATTGTAACTACTGGAAATTAGTAGGTATAATGTGCAGTTGGTACTGTATTTAGTATAAAGTGTTTTTAAAGTGCTCTGTGAAATTTAAAGAAATCTAAAGTAAATAATCTTTAATAAACAGTGTGTTACATATGAAAAACATAATTATTAACAGGTCAACTAATCAGGACTTTTTGTGTTAAATACCTATGGGTGTGGATCAACTACACACATTAATTTAGAAAGAAATATATTTTACAATCTTTAAAAGTAAAAAGGCACCAGGAATAGATGGTCTAACAACCGAAATAGTAAAAAATATAAAAAATGAAATTATCCCTCAATTAGTTAACCTAATTAATCACTTTTTTAATGCTGGTGAATGTCCAAATCATTTTAAAGTGGCAATTATATCACCAATTTACAAAAAAGGTGATAGGAATAATGTTTTCAATTATAGACCAATCTCTTTAATAACTACAATTACTAAAATTTTTGAGAAAGCTTTAAAAACAACTTTTTTCAATAAACATAAATTAATATCTAAATGCCAATATGGTTTTCAAGAAGACTTATCTACGAATGATGCAATTGCCGAATTAAAAAAGACCATCTACAAACTCGTTAATGATAGGAAACCAACAGCCTGTGTATTTCTGGATCTCGCAAAGGCATTCGATACTGTTTGTCACAAACAGTTGATAGATGCCTTGGGAGATGCAGGAATACGAGGGACATCACTTGATTTGATGGCTAGTTACCTAAATAACAGAAAACAAATAGTTAAAGTGAATTATGTCTTTAGTGAATATAAAACAATTATGGAGTACCACAAGTCACCGTTCTGGGTCCTCTATTGTTTAGTGTTTATACATATAAATGGCCTCTTCAGTATTGAAACTAAAGGTAACATAATTAGTTTTCTGACGACACTGTCATTATTTATACAGCTGAAAAGAAAAACAGAAACAGATTTAGGTAAAATTATTGACTGGTTTAATCATAAGAAATTAACTGTTAATTTTCAGAAAACCTATTTTGTTCCTTTTTGTAGTTATAAATCCTCTTTACCACCCTTTAATGAAATACGGATTCAAAACCATCAGAATGCAACTATTAGGTCAGTGAGTGAAATGAAATATTTAGGAATACAACTAGACTCGCATCTTAAGTAGAATGCCCATGTCGAAGATATTTCTAGATCTTTAAGATGCCTTCTTTCAAAATTTAAATATCTTAAAACATGTCTAGATGTTCGTCATTTGAAAATAATTTATTATTTTTTGTTCAGTCGAGGTTAAATTATGGTATATTTGGATGGGGCGGAATTCTTCAAATCCATCTGAAAAAAATTGATGTTTTACAAAAAAAAAATTTAAAAATCATTTTAAATAAAGATTGGACTTCAGATTCTTTGTTTATTGAAAGTTACATATGCTGTCTTATTATTTATATACAAAAACCGCACTTTCCTAAAAAACATAGATCACAATTAAAGACACGAGTGGATAAAGGTGCCACGTCACAAAAAGATTATTTCGAAAAAAAAAAAAGTTTAATGTTTTATAATTGCATTATGATATATGGCTTATGATACCTTCCTAACTGATGAATAGCCGTTATTTATCAAAAATTGAAAATCAGAACTATCACAAACAAAAAATATGGTATATATAAAGTATATTGGGCCATAAAAATGATTTTTTTGAAAAAATGCAACATGACACCTTTATCCACTTGTGTCTTCAATTATTCTACCAGAAATAAATTAAATAATTATGTAATTACAGAGGCTAGTAAAAAATCTGTGGGTCAAAGATATGTTACATATCTGTCTGGAAGAATATACAACTTTTTACCAAATATGTATAAAATTTATTTAATAACCAAAAATTCAACCAAGCTGATAAAAAATATTTTTAAGAAGTTTCTATTAAATTGCAAGAGAACAGACACACATGACCTGATAGAAAATAAAATCACTCCAATTTAAATTATTACTAGTAATAAAATTGTTTTTTGAATATGATTTATATTTTATGTTAGGTTTTTATATACATTTGCGTTATTTAAGTGTATTTAAATTATTCTTTTTATTAAAATTGTTTTTGTATATGATTATATTTTATATTAGGTTTAGTATACAGTATTACTGTTTGCATTGATCACTAAAATAGGTATAGATACGACCTTATATGGTTTTAACGAGCTTACGATTCTTTATTAAAAAAAATGTATACCAAACAATCTGTAAACTTTTTTGAATAAACTATTATTATTTATTTACTCAAAAGTTACTATTTAATACCTGTTGTATAAAAAGAGTGCGTTGACTATGTTAGCAACATCTTCCAAAAGTAGTTTAAATAAGAATTTATCGCCAATTTAAAAAAGCGTTCTTTATTTATTATGAATAATAATAATTACCATACCAATGCTGGAGCTCTAAGAAGCAATGGCGTAGCATATAGGGGTGGCTAAGGGGACGCTCCCCTCCCTCTAACAGAGGTTTGAGCACCCAGAAAAGCTTCGCCCCCTCCGCCCTTTGGCCCACGCTACGTCACTGCTATGGAGACTATAATAATTGGCAAATCTACTGGTGACAACGTAATAACAACCTAGATAAAGTCGTTAGAAAATGTTACGAGACAGCGAACAACACCGTACAAATTACCAGAGCTGGGCAATTCCTAGTTAAAAAATAATCAATAATTACAATTACTTTTTTTTTTCATGCAATTTGTAATTACATTTAATTACCTTTTTTCTTAAAGTTGTTTGGAATTGTAATTGCAGCAAAATTTATGGAGGAATTGTACTTTGTAATTATAATATTGAAATTATTACATTTTCTAATTATAGTTACTTTTAAATACGTGTTTACTACGATATGCAATAAAAAGAAATTTCCTGTTCCAACGGGTCACTATAGTTCGGACTCGCATCCATCTTATTTGTTTGAATGCATTTCACGAAAGCGCTGTGCCGTGGAGAGAGCCTCAGTGAACAATGTCACTATTGTTGAACCCAAAATAATAACAGTAAGTGGTAAGTAGATGTAGATACCACTATTTTTAAAACGTATTTTGTATTATGTTACATAAACATTATAAACTAAGGAAATATAGTATGAAGTGACAAATACAGCAGTTTTTATGGGGTTGATTAAATAGTCACAGACTAATGATGCCTGATTTGTAAAGTATAATATAAAAGTACCTAGACCTAGGTACACGAACTTTGTTGTTCCGAACCAATAAACTTTTAAAAGCTCACATTTTATTAATAACTTCATTGTTCCATTTTTTATACTACTTGTTACTTGTTATGGATATTGTCTTCTTCCTTAAGTTAAGGAGACCCTAAGTAGTATAAAAAACAATACGCTTAGGACTGAAGGTATAAAGCTTACTTAAAGTTAAGCTCAGTTTTCCGATGCTATAGGTGCAGTCTAATGTTTGGAGAAACAAGCCCTAAGTGCTAAATGGTGTTTAGACTGTACCTACGCCATACAAAATTTTTCATGTGTCACTTAAAACCGAGTTTAATTTTAAGAAAGCTTTATACAACCCGCCCATAGGATATCTTTAACTTTAATAATAACATATTCTCGGGTTGAACACTTTGAATTGCCTCTTTAAAAATTTTATTCCTACATGCTTCCTCAATTCTATCATAATTTGTTGTTTTATTCTCAAAGTACCTAATTAGGAAAGTAACTATCAAAGTAATTGAAAATTCCTTTTTTCTTGTAATTGTAATTAAATCCTATTTTTACAACATGTACTTTGTACTTGTAATTCATTTCTTTTTTTTGAAAAAGTACTTTGTAATTGTAATTGTTTTTAAAGTACATGTAATCCAGCTAAACAAATTCCTATTAATACACAGAAAATATTTTTTTCTTCTTTTCAGAAACAAACCACAAATAAAAAATTTTTTATCAGCAAACCGAAAACTGTAAACGTTTCTAATTTCTTCTGAGCCTTTATTTTTATTCTGAATTTTGTAAAATTTTCAGGAAATGTCAATAATAATAAAAAAACTTAAATGGAATGAAAAAATAAAAAAAAACATTTAAAGTAAGTAATCAATGACTGTCACTTGAAATATAGTATAGTTGCAATACCCTGTATTATTATTTATAATTGGTTGAATAAAGCCTTATATCGGTTTGTTTTTACAACATTTTGCATGCAAGCTTTTCTTATGCCGCGATAGTCGGTGTTGGCACAAAATCACCATGATCAAAATCACGATAAGTGAGAACGAATCTTTACAAGTAGTTTTTGATTTTTATTGTTTTATATTCTAAAGTTGTAGATATTTAAATAACCCTACTAAAAAAGGGATAATCGTATTTTTACGTACGATCTCACTGATGCAATCGTACATCGTACAGAGAGGTAAAAAATCGTATATATATACGATTTAAATCGTACAGTTGGCAACACTAAGACAGACAGTAGACGTGAACAGCAGTGGACAGTTTGTAAATATAAATGTCAGTTTTATGTTTATCGAAAAATCCTGAATTTAAATTTTAAATTTTAAGTTCATGATTGTGTTATCCTCTAGATGAACTAAGCGAAACGGTTGTGGCTGTTTTTGTGTGAAATTTGAGGACAATAGTAAGACATGCCATATGAATAAATTTAACAACCCCAAAACCAAAGTAAGATCTAGTAACATAAATAGTAACCAATTTTTGTCACAAAGTAGGGATGTATTTATTATTTATTGTTTTAGAACAAGAAAATGGCTTCAAAACATTAGAAAGAAGATTTGATATAGGAAGAAAAGTATCTGAATTCCCATTATTGAGTTTGCACTCAACATTGTTAAATAAGACACCATTAGCCATTTGTTTGAAAAATAACAAAAATGTAATGTTACAAATAACGATGAAAAATTAGAAAATATATATCATGAATAGATTTATAATAATTAATCGATAATAGACTGAAAGTGTAGTATTCTTTTTAATAAATAATTTAGCATAATTACATTGTTTAAATTTATTTACAAGAACATGAGAGTGCTGTCAATATTTATACAATCTTTATTATCAAGTTTTTAAATTTCCCGGTGCGTTGTTTGATGTCCATGAAAGCGCCACATAGTGGGTCAGATGTTAACTGCGTTAAAGCTTGGCTTCTTATGAGCGTTTCCTATCTTTGTCTCCCTTATCTCTGGGATTAACAAAATACAGTTCATCAAATTTCTAGAGGTGTTCGACGCCCAGACAGAGAACGCGCTACGTGTGACTAAGATAGCTATTGTACAGTCTGCTAAACAAGTTATTTTAAATAGTTTTTAATATTTTTAGGTAATTAAATTTTAAAAGTGTGGAATAGTTTAGGGATTAAATTGGTCTGATTGGACTTTCTTAGAACGTTTTTAAAAGCAGCTAAAGATAGTATGTAGAATTGAAAATAATTATTATGCCATAAAAGGTGTTTTGGAATTCCTTCAACCCTTTGAAATTGAGTCAGAAAATATAAATTTTATAGGATAGCGGAAAATACCTATAATTTTTTTGTAGGCCTTTGTAAATCGTGGAAATAGTTTATATTTTATTTCTACCTTATTAAGAAAAATGGTACCTATTATTAATAACGGTTGTTTCTGAAGCATTACTAAAATTTTCGAAATTTTGTTTTTCTACAAAATAATAAACTATACTATTTAGAAAAAAATTTATTTCTCTTATAATTTTATAAAAAATAACAGGGGAATATTTACATTTCTTGATCTATTAAACAAAACGATAAATTATCTCGACGAATGACACCATGTTCTAGTACGGAAGCTAGCTATTACATTTTTGTTGGTGGTTTCATGGGTTTCATATAAATTTTTTGTAATTGTAGTTTACACGTACATATACCTCTTAACACTTGTTTGCTTTATTAAAAAAGTGTGTTGTTGTGATTTAAGTCGAAATAAGACAAAAACAACTTGAAACCCCATATAAAATCAAAAAGGAGAAACGGAAAAAAATTGAGCCTGTAAATGAACACAACTCAGAAACAAAAATAGCTATCTAATAATAAAAAAAATAAAATTTGATTCTTGTGCAGCTTCATCTATATCATTAACTGTTTTTGGTTTTTTAATGGTTTTTCTTGGTGATGAAAATTCCGATATCTCACGGTTATCGATTCTTTTTTTCTCTCCAGAAATGCGGACGACAGTGTTTTTAGATACTCCTGTGGCTGCAGCAACACGATCATTTACATTTTTAAATGGTATTGAAGGTGAATTAAAGTTTCCTTCTCTTCTCATAAACTCTATAACATTGGCTATTATTTCGCGAGATTGTTAATCACGCGGCCTCTTAATTTGCTATTAAACTCCATACTTAGGTTCTATTAAACTGTAATGAGCAAAAAACACAAACGAAAATAAAAGAAATGTTTTAGCGAAATTTACATCTGACATTTACGTCTGAATGAAATAGTGAAATACTTTATGCGCAGAGTGTACTTTCATTGCGTAAATCCGTCGGGATGCCTGTCAGTAGTGCTTTCTCTGTCTAGCCGTCGAAAGCCTCTAGAAATTTGATGAACTGTATCTCCGATAAAAAGCCCATGCAGTCTCATGCTAAAAGATGACAGTTACTCATCTAGTTTATCATACTTTTAAATATGACATATTTTTTCATTAATACGTCAACCTTTCACACATTTTACAATAATTTTACTTCGAATTGGTGATATTTAAAATAAGAAATAATGAAATATAGTAATACCATATTCTGGTAACAGATCAAATGGATGTTTTCATAAACGCCTTCATTTAGTTATGTATATTGATTTTATCGCAGGATGGTTAGGTGGTAAGATTAATATTCAAGTTTATTTTACAAAATTGTTAAATATAATTTAGAAATTCAAGTATAGAATTTATTTAGACAAACGATAAACGTAAAGATAGCGCTGCTGTTTGTTTTAAATTAGTTCACGATATTATTAATTTTTAACAGTAAGTACAAGAACACTGATCAAAATTGTTTAACGTTTTATTATAACAGTTAAGTTACCTAAACGGTTTTCTATAAAAAACTATCTTCTATTGATGCAATTTGATAAAATAAAAAATTACTGTACTCGAGTGGATTATTCATAATATCGTACTCTGCCTATTTCTTCGTGAGATGTGGCCATCATATACACCCTTGTTGCAAAATAGTAAATTGATAAAGGACAGTTCAGTCTTATACTAAACGTGAAATGCGATTAATGAATTATGAAATTATTAATTTTCAATAGACAAGATATAGCCTAAAAATTCATTCTGTAAAATAAGCAGAAAATAGATATTTGTTCTGAATAATATATTCAGTTTTTACCATAAATTGCCTAATACATGGCTCATAAAGTACTACTAAAGCAATATTTCAGCGTAATTATATTTCTTTCTTTAATCAGTCGAACTGCTGAAATGTGATATAAGCCTAAACCGGATTGTCTCTTCTTCAGCTTGTTTAATATTCACGAAGACGCCGATATCTTGTTAACTTGTTTTCAACGCTTTTTCAGCTCAATGGTTGGCTTATTTTAACTACTGAACAAAATAATAGTCCGTAACAGTATTTTTTTAGTCTAATGCTAGTTTCAAATTGCCAATAAATGGTATACTTTAAGACTACAACAAGACTTCTTCAGCTTTATGTTCGGTCAATACAAATTTACTAAATATCATACAATGTGACTTATAAGTGCTCTTTAGTCTACTGCATAGTTAATCTTCATTAGCTCTATAAGGGTTTACATATAAGTAGAAGATGCTTCAATACAACCTTTTGTACAGCCAATTTGCTGATTCCGACATTACTATACATCTTTACATCAGCTAAATTAAGATCTGATGTTACTTGGGAAATCTGAACTTTTTTTCTAAATCTTCTAGTCCAACCTTTATAATTATCTACAAAATGTTTGTACAGGTATGATTGGAGTGATCATAGGACATCCCTTGGACACCATAAAAGTAAACCTCCAAACCAGAGGTTCTACTAACCCTCATTATCATGGTCTGATGACTACAGTAATACGTCTGTTGGATAAGGATGGAGTTAAAGCGTTATATCGCGGCGTATCTAGTCCATTAGTGGGTCTGGGTGTAATGAATGCTGTATTATTTGGGATATATGGTAGCGTTTTAAGAATGATGCCTGACCCAGATTCATTATTGGCAATAAGCGTAGCTGGAACTGCTTCGGCTATACCGACTGCTGTTGTTATCAGTCCTGTCGAGATGACGAAAAGTAGGATACAGGTAAGCATAATGGTAATTAGTTATAATGAAGCGTCGGAATATTTAATACTGTTTACTTAGATCCAATTATAAAGGTATTTTTTGCGGTGTAATATACAGCTATTCTTTTAAGCCCAAATATGATCATATTGCGTAGATGTTTGAGTACCAATCTTGTCAGTTGTAACATGAGGTAAAGTTGCTATTAAAGTTCTACCTGCAATTGAGGAGGGCATAATTTCTGTCCTTCCTGAATACAACATATCTATCGTCGAAAAATTCAGAACTATGAAAGTCTTCATTAAGCCAAGTTTCACTCAAACGAATAATATAATTACAAGAATATATACTATTCAAAATATCAGTCAATTTCGTTCGTAGTCCATTATAGACCGTCAGATAGTGACAGGTTTAGGTGCCCCATTTTCGCATGCAAGCCTCGAAGAGGGTTGAAAAGTATATCGATTTTAAGTAGAATGAAGGGATCCTTACCGGGCACTGCCGACTAAAAGGACACCTAAGTAAACTGAGAGTAGTAGAGGATAGTGAGTGCAGATTCTGTGAGGAGGAGGACGAAACCTCCATTCACATCCTAACTGAATGTGTAGCACTCCAGAATCCAAGGGCACTATATCTAGGAGGATATCAAATAGAAGAGGGAGACTTACCTAACTTGAAGTCACTTCAAATCCAACACTTCCTTGAGAAAATAGGATTGGAAGGGTCGCAATAGGCATTGAGACATTTCCTTAGTGCAGTGGCGACAGAAGGGGGCACAATAGATCTTTTAGGTCGCAGTGTATTAACACCCCATTATCAACATAACATAAGTAGAATGAAAGTAAATTTACGAGTGGCTCCTGGGGATAACACATGGAAAATTCGATTTTCCCCAACAAAAATGAAAGGTTATTTATTGCCCATATTTCCACACAAGCCGTTTTCACTGTATGATTAATTAATAGAACTAGGCTTCGGAAAACCAAAGGCTTTAATGTTGCAAGTGGCTAAGGGTTAAAATAAGGGCGTAATCTTTTAAGAAAAAAATCGAGATTTTACCAGATTTTTCCACACAAGCCCATCGAATCTATGAAAACGTACATAGTCACTAGTCTAAAAAATATATTTTCTTAAATGACCTGAATGTATAAGTGCATTTTGGGGTCAGAAAATTTTTCTGATAAGGAAAATCGAATTTTCCATGTGTTATCCCCAAAACCCACTCGTAAATTTTCTTTTATTCTACTCAACATCGATGTACTTTTCAACCTTCTTCGAGGCTTGTATGCGAAAATGGGGCACCTAAATCGGTCACTATCTGACGGTCTATTAACATTTTGATAATATAGAGTAGTTTGGTCACCACTGATTTGAGAATGGGGTTTTGGTATGTTGGATAGTCATGGTTTAAGATCTGTTTGATGGATTGAGAAAAATTTGTTGTTGTGTAATCGGTAAGTTAGTTTCTATTAGACTAACAGAAAAAGTATTTTAATTTTGAAGATTCTTTAAAGTAAATATAATTAGTTTTGTGAGTTATCGCTTCTCGTAACTGGACATTAGACTATAATATGAAAAAACTTCGGAAGGTATAAAATAACAGAATTCAAAATTACGAAGCATAGATTGAATTTTAAGTTCAAATTGTTAGATGAATCTGTTAAGAACATTGCAATTAAATCTTTGTGGAGGTCCGCAAATAAACAAATTGGTTCTGTAACTTTCCTAAAGTAAGGATTCAAGTGACTCTATAGCTATGGGTTTACCTTTCCGAGCATTGTCATCGCCGATGTCTTGGTCATTAAAATTTGAAATGTACCTAAGGCACATTTTTATATATATATATAAAATGAAGATTTTGCTGACCATTGACAGATAATATCGTGGTGACTGTTGGTAATGTGTTTAACTACTTGAATGAGACCTCTCGCTTTTTCTCATCACCTAAGATTAAAAGTTGAGTTTTCGAGCTGATGAGGAAGGTTTATCTCGAAGTAAAGATTGCGTTGTAGCCGATGTAGTTGAGTTGTTATCTTTTTAAATATTGTCCACCAAATTTTTCAGCGATTTTAGTTCTTGAAACAGCGATGAATTTTCTTGCTCAAGAACAGAAATTGAGTTTTTCATGTCCTTATGTATTTCGGTTAGGTCATTTACCTTAACGTCTAACTGAGTATTTAAATCATTACCTAATTATTTGTGTCTGAAAAGATTGTAATTATTTTTCTAATTCCTCAATAATTCTTTTAAGAATGTATTTATTTGGTCCATTTCCAATTTTCTTCCCTTGCGAAGTATATTATAGAAGTGTGTGGTGCATGATGATATTAACATTCCCTATTTCCCTTCCTCTATTTAGTTGTCTATGAATAATTAATTTTTTAAAATCTTGTACTCGATTTTTGAAAATTATACCCTTCATCATACATTTTATCAAGATCTACATAATTTATTCATCTAATTAAGGCGTTAAATAGCGTGAATAACAAAACAAGGGTACAAAAAAATCATAACTACAAAGCTGTAACTTTTGTTTTAACTAAAAAATATAATTTTCCGAGTTAAGCTCCAAATGGGAAATTATAAGTTGGTTACTCTCTTGTGTGTGTGTTTTGCTCCATTCTAGGTTAATTAGAAATAATTCAAGTTTGTTTTACTCCTACTCCTACGCGAAGTTTTAATTATCATTCGGTTCAGAGTTTAGCAAAATCAGTACATATTCCTTAAATTCGATATTAGCTGTATCCGTAGGTTGCGCCAGGGCTCACAATGCGCCGTTTCTGATTGTGAAATTGCCGAAAAAGAAGTAAAGGAAATGCAATTTCACAGATTTCCACACAACAATTGTACAAAATAGGAATGGATGATTCGATGTAAGCGAGCAGATAATTGGATTGCCTGCAATTTGAGGATTTACTCATTAAATATTTGAAATCAGATTACATGCGGTTTTTCAAATAATTCATAATTGTGTGTACCTACAAACAAATGAATAAAATTTCGTTTATATTCAAAGTTTCTGATTGGACAATTAGTTTTTGAGAAAATAAATCAAAGAAGTAGACATTTTTTAGTTTTGTTTATCTTAAAAAGTAATTTTTATCTTTTGGCTTTACCATTCAATTTGCAATTTGCAAGTTGCGAGAGTATTCATTTAGTATTGTAATATTTGGAACAAAATGCTGATTTAAGTCACTACTTTTGAAACGCCCTGTATGTGTAACGAAATTATAATAATATTCCTTAAATATATTTGCAGGTAAACATTTTTATACTAACATTTTTTCGAAAAGCTGAAAATTAAAAAGTTTTTCCTCCTCTTTTTCAGACTACCTGGGGACACCTTGTATGGAGTCAATATTAAAAATAAATATACCGTCTGGTTCGTAAGTTATGAGCAATTAAAAAATCAGCAAAACTGATAAATCACCGTGTAATGGATATAAATAGTCAAATATAGATAAATTAGAACCACATCGGTGTCCCATATTTATCATCGAATAATTTCCAACAAATCATCACCTTTTATGTACCCTAAATCACTAAATTAAATACAAAAACACTAATAAAATGCTATCTATTTTTTTGTCTGAGGAGAATCGCTTGGCACCAGCTGCTTTGTTTAAGCTGTAGATAGTATCGGGAGCAACTCCTACTATAACTACCTTTTCTCCGGGCTTCAAATGAGCTTCTTAGTCCACACCATTTCCTTTGTATTTTCCTTCAGTTTCTGCCATTTTTGAAATATCCCCTCCTTCATAGCCCAAGAGCCCACTGCAAATGTTTACCGTCATCTGATAACGAAATGAAATATACTCCAAAAGCATGGAAAAACATTTTAATTTTCCAAATGGCACCTGTGCCAATCCCAAACTTGAACAAAGTGACTTAAATTTTTTTTTATATTAGAAAAATCACCTAAGGCATGACAGCGCTAATTTTGTTTGAAAGTTTTCCAGAAAATAACATATAAATATATCTTGATATATATCGTTAAAGAGAAACGTTTTTTTCCTCTTAACATCGCACAAAAACTATCCACGATTAGTAGGTAAATATCATTAAAAATATGAATCAATGTTTGCTGATTTAAAAATTTATTTGTATGCCTATTGTTGTGATTAATTTTTACAGATTGCCATAGAAACGACAAAAAAAACTATGTGATTATGGTTTAAAATAATTGTCTAACAAGAGTTTATAATTATTATTGACTATCTCTGCAAATGGTTTATACAATGCCATCCTTCTTCCTTTCATACATAAACATTGTTTAAGAGGTAGGTAACATATTAATAATTCAGGTTTAAAAGCTAGGTTCACAATGAATTAGGATTGTAATTTTCAGGGAAACCTTAATTGTCGCTGTCATGTTTTATGTGATTTTTTGAATATAAAATAATTTTTTTTAACCACGTTGCTCAGGATAGGGATTGACACAGGTGCAATTTGGTAAAGTACAATGTTGTTACATGCCTTTGGAGCATATTTCATTTCGTTATCAGATGACGGTCGAAATTTGCAGTGGGCTCTCATACTATTACATTACTTCTCAAATTTGATTAACCATTTCATGAAACATACTTTGTCGTGCTTCAGCTAGAAGGTCTATGGGTGGCGCACTCTGGCAAGTACCTGGAGGACTTCCGATGACACGGTTCTAAGCCCACTCACAACCAGTTTTGTTTTCATGGATTTTAATAAGTTTGTTATTGTACTTTTTAATTTTGGTAGTGCCTCATATTAGTGTTCCGTAGAGTAAGATGGATTGCAACACCCCGTTCAAGACTTACTTTTTTGTATCGCCAGGACCCTTTATGTTTGGCATAAACCTGGTGGGTATTACCATAATTTTATCTGCTTTCTCTACCGTTTTGTATATGTGTGCTTTAATATTAAGTTTATCTTCCATCCACATACCCAGATATTTGTTGCTTCGGCATAATTCGTCTTCTCTTTTAAAATAACAGATTCGGTCTTCTTTGACGCAAGCTGCAGCTCGTATTTATGCATCTTAAGTTTAATTTGCATTACTACCCGCTTCGCGATCTTCTCAAATTCTTCTTTGCTGTCAGCCTTGATTATTCGCCAAGACTCAGATCTAGTACAGGGTCATACATAACGGTCCACAAGGTTGGTCCTATAACTAAGCCTTGTGGTACAACACCGCCACTTGTATCTTTTATATCTTCCCGATGTGTATTTCCCTAGTAGTAAAGTAGTAACTTACTTTTGTTTATAATCGTCCTGCACGATTCGAGTTGAAGTTGCTTTGGAGATTTAAGAGGACCATTATGTACCATTTTTTTGTCTCCACTTTATCCAGTCGGTTTCTCACTTGATGGCACGTATAACATTTTTTCCCTTCCCCAACTACCTCTCAAAGGAGAGGTGTTTGTCTTCTAGCTCTTTAATTAGTCCTCCCTTACCATTGCTTCATAGAGCTTGCCCATTATGTTGACTTATATGCAGATCTACTGTTGGCTTTCACTTTTCGGATCAGGATTACTTTATTCCATTCTATGAGGAGGGTCTGTGTGTTTAGAAGGCTATTCATAATCTTCAGGATAGAACCAGTGGTCAGATTTATGCCGCATTTGATAGTCACTGGTGTAATTTCGTCCATTCCGGGTGACTTGACTTTTTCAAGCTTCGTATAACCCACCAACTAAGAAGGGAGTGGGCAGCTCTACCTGAACGTTGCATCTGAATTTCAAATTTGTTTCAGGAAAAAGATGTTCCACCATTCTCTTTTTTTCTTCAATGCCTATGGCAGACGGGGTTAGTTTATTACAAAATGAAATTTTGCTGCCCGGCCCCAGATGTCCCCCTTCCAGCTTGTCACAAATAGATCTTTAACATTATTTTTTGGTCCTGTATATTAGTTTTTTCAGTGATTTCTTTGTCTCTTTGTATGGCCTTTAATAGTTTCATTTAGGTGTCTGCTCATTTCACACATCCTTCTATTACAGTCCCCTTTTTCTCTTTGATTTTTCTATTTTATTAGTATGGCATCGTATATATTTCTTTTCTTAAGGTTATGAATCTTTTCTGCCTTCCTCTGAGTATTTCTAAAGCCTCTTTTACGGTTTGGCTTCTCATAAAATCGATATTAAGTATCCTCTTCAGTTCCTGATAGTTGATAAATTTGGTGTTTTCTTTTTTTTTTCCGTCTATCTCGAACATTATGTGCCTACAAAGCTTAGGTATTCCTCGTCCGACAGCCTATATCAGATGTTGGGTACGATACCCACCATGTTTAGTGAAAAATCTATGAAGGCGATGCTATTTCCTCTGGCAAAACTTTAATTATTTTCGTGGTTTACTACTGTAAAGTTCAACGAATTTATCAATTCTACCACTTTCCCTCTTCGTGAGTTCTCTATGGGTGAGCCCCACATGTCTCATTTCTCATCATTGGTTCCATAATTTTGTCTAGTTTGGACTTATATACTGCGCATCTTAGATTTGGAGAGATGGTTGGATGTGGGTTTTCACCTCGATTTTTTCTGTTTCAACACAGGACGCCTGTTGTCTTGATGGGTGTCGTATATTCAATCCGTACTACCCGATATTTTTTCCCTTCTGGTTGAAACAAGCTCCAGGTCGTGTGCAACCCAGGCTTTGTCCAAGTTGGATTATAGAAAAAGCAGTAACATAAAATCCTAAAACAATTAAAAAAGTGAATATAAACTAACAATTAGCCTACTTAAAGGCGACAGGAACAGGAACATTCATTTAAATCATCTGTGGAGGGTATAAATATTAAAAAGTAGCGGACTCAAAACAGATCCCTGTGGTAGGCTAATACTGGTGTAACGAGGACCTACGAGCTTATTTTCATAGTCTCTTACATATATACACTTGCTGGAATAACATTTTATAATATTAGCAATCGAAGAAGGAATTTTGAACTCGTCAATCATCTTAATCTTTAATATTGATAGATCTACACTATCATAGGCACCTTCTATATCTCTGAAAAGTATAGATAAATAGTTATTACGGGAGAAATTGTTTTGAATGAATGTCTGTTGTCAACATTGGTTGGATATTAATTTTAATCGCAAACGGCATAGTTTCAGTCACAATTTTGATGTATTTTGGATTTTTAGGTAGCTGGAAGACAAGCGGGCAGAAACCCCTTAGATTGTTTACTAATATTGCTCCGAAAAGAAGGCATTTTTAGAGGAGTTTTTAAAGGACTGGGGATAACTATGTGCCGAGAAATTCCATCGAACGTATCATATTTTGCAGTTTATGAATCTCTAATGCCAGAAGATCAAACACATTTAATGTTTCATCAGTTCATTGCTGGTGGTACTGCAGGTAAACCATAAATTTATAAAGTGGTCCACAAAAAATGTTTCCGAAATACTTAAAACACTAAAACACATAAAAAGCAATAACATGCGTGAATTCTTCTTCTTTAAAATGTTTTTTGTGGATTATTCCATGTTTATTAAAAGGACTACACAGGCTGTATCGTACAGCGGTTGGATTACGGTATATTTTACTGTTTACGAGATCTCTGTATACGAAAATTAAATCCATTGCACCCTGTATATTCACTTCCATATATAATGTATAATTGTTTTCTTATTTTAAGGTGTGGTATCGTGGGTAGTACCATATCCTGTAGATGTTATTAAGTCAAAGATCCAAGTAGATGGAGCTCGAGGAATAATTAAATATTCAAGTTTAATGGATTGCATAAACCAAACCATTGAATTGGAGGGTTATAAAGGGTTTTATCGTGGCTTACTGCCAACCGTGATAAGGGCGTTTCCTGTGAATGGCACTACGTTTCTTTTCGTCCATTTAATCTTGAGGTGGTTCAAGGCTGACGATCATGTTTCACATGCACAGCTTCCGGATGTCAAAGAGACTTCATATGTTCCTAGAAGATATTAAACCTTTCGAAGTTTAAATATGTTTTAATGTTATTACTTATTGATATTTTATAGTACGGTATTGTAAATACCTATATTGTAATTTATATTTAATAAACTGATTTGATTATTACCAAAGTATTTTAAGGCGAGAGTTTAGTTGCATTTATTTATGTTTCCAAGTGAATTTAAAAAGAGTAAAAGATAAAGAGCTAAGATAAAGTAGATATTTTTGAAATAATTAAGAGCAGTTGCTGATGTTGGTATCAATAATGTAACTTGAATAACAATAATTATAAAAGTTTAAACAATTATACCAAAATTAGATTTTTTCAAGGAATCAAGCAATTAATCTATTATTAACTAATTACAATCACGTTAAAACCAATTATTAATATTATATTATATAATAAAGAATAAAAACTGTGAAATAAAAACTAGCCGAAATTGAAAATATTATACACGGCAATACGTTTTCATATTGAAATGATTGTATTTTATTTTATTTTATTTTATTTTGTATTGATGTCTGGACTATAAATTTGTACCTAAAATATTAGGATATTGTTCACATACTATTATAAAGTTTGTTTATTTAAAAATAGTTTATTTATTTAAAATAGTTTATAATTTATTTGCATTACGTACTAATTAATATTTATTTACACTTAAGCCCTATTTATATTTTACAAATCTAATTTATTTTATAATTCACCTTTCCTTAAAAACCTTAATATTCAAACTTAGTTTGAACGACAAAAGAATTCGCTTGCATACAAAATTGTAACAGTCTAGAAAAACCAATCCTGGGTAGAAAAATTTTGAAGACTAACTAAAATCCTTCCTACTTGCGTTTGGGTTGCGTACAAAGTAACATTCTGGTTGAATCTCGATCACGAGTCGAGCGGGCAGCGAAAGTGGAAACAGACGTAATGGTGGCAGTGAAGGTCAAAGAAAAGGGACAATCTCAGGTAGTCGCACGATATTCCCCTGTCCTACAGCCAACATCTAGTGACTTATTTTATAACACTTTCGTTATGTTTATTTCAAAGATAAGTGTCCGTCTCCAAAGAAATATTAAACCCTCCACCAATTTAGGTGGGCCATTTTTTCACTCCAATATTTTAAAGTAATGCGTGAAAAGGCATACGCATGAATTATTTTCTTACGACTGGTTTTTGTTTTTTTTTTAAGTTATTGTTATGCTTTCATCAAATTCACTTCCTCCATCATTTTCACTGGATCATTTTTCCCCTCCAACGATTTAAAGTCGTGCAAAAGTGGGCATGTGCGTGACTTATTTTCTTATAGCAAAATTTGAATCTCGTTATCTTGGAAGATTACTTGCACCATGTTTCTAATGATTAAGCTATCTTTGACATGGCTAGTTTGACTAGTTGGGCTCCAGTACGTCCTCCTTCAAATTAAGTCAAATTAAGTGGATCGTTCTAGAAAGCTGTCCTTTGTTATCAAATAAAAAAGGTAACACGATCCATCTTGAAGTGTTAAGGCTTTTCCAGGGATTGGTACCTCTATAAGCAACCATACATTCTTCAAAGACAGGGTCAGGTGTTTCTTGGAGCTGGTTTACTTCTACTTCTTTGTCATGGTCACACTCAAATGCCGCCAGCCGGTTTTGGTGCACTATCTTTGGTTTACCGTTCGGGATCTTATAAATTACAATGTTAATTTTTTCTTGATGAAGTACGAGCCTTCCCAAGACTTTTAAGCTCTGAAAAATAAACCTGTCTTTTTTGGTTATGGACTTCATCTGCTGTATCTGTGGAGGACATAGTGTCCATAAAATAGAGTAAAACATGTTCAAACTAACAACAACCACAAAAACAAAAAAAATAAATAACACAATATATGTATATCTAAACTATAATATAATGAATTATAATCAATCAAACATACAAAATGTCCATACTAACCAACACGGTGAATGCTACCAAAACGCGGTTTATAATTATCCAAATTGAACTGACAAAAAATATTTGCGCGTCGTCTAAATGACTAACGACCGATTAACCAATAGAAGCGCAAAAAAATGTCACGTGAGCTGTTGCTGGATGGGAGAAATTGTTTTGACGCGGCGTAAATGAAATCTGAATAGTAATCCATTATAAAAGTAAAATAACACAGTTTTTCCAAAATTAAAGCATCTATTTTTCAAACACAAATTGAAATATTTGAGAAATACGCACTAAAGTGCACCCGGTATAATTTTATTTATAAAAAAACTATAGATAATATCATTATATACATTATTTTTTCAGACTGGTTTTATACAGTTTTTCTAATAAACACAGACAAACTTCGTCTTCTCATAACGAAATCACTCTAATCTAACGACGCCATTATGTGCTCCATCAGACTGTATTAGAGAACATGGCGCCGATATAAAAACTTAAGTTTTATCAATTTAGCATAATTTTCATAAAATTCTTCCTAAAGAAAAAGACAAAAAGGTTCCATAAAGATATGCATATTCATGCACTCAAAATGACATGCTAAAATATCGTCGTCCATTAAACGGTAACAGCAAAAATGTATTCAAGTGAAACAAATAAACAACCTACCTACACTTTAACATCAGAATGTGTGATATTTATAAAAACATCGTAGATAATGATTATTTTTCTTTTCGCTATTTTAGACTTTATTCACTCTGGTATACAGATGGGGAGTGCTCTGCTACTGTACAAACTTGATTAACTTCATATAGTCTATCCTATACATTTATTATTATCTTGGATAATGTTCAAATGTTAAAATAATTATAAATTTCATTTTTTAACTGTAAAATACTTATAATATGTTTTGCTTTTTAATTTAGAACAATTCTAATGAAATATTCTGAATTATAAGTAAACCATAGAAAAAAAAATTAATGGGAGTTTATAGGGAGAAAACAGTAAACAGAAATAAACTCAAGATCATAGGCTTTTGAAAAAGAAACGACTTAATAATAGTAAATACGATGTCGAAACAAACATTAGAAGATAAATATACTATGCTACGTTTGTGGCAGATGTGCAAAACTCAAAGACTTTAATAGTTTATTTACTTTAAGAAAACTAATTGAGACAAGAAAAGCGGTGAAATAGGGACACACCTTAAAATTAGTAATTAAGGAATGTCATCTAAAAATAATAAAAACAGAACTGCAATAAGTAAGCTAAAAAAAAACAGAAAATAAAACAAAATACCAAGAACAGACGAAAAAAGAATTCGAATGATAAAAATGAAAACACTGAATGGACCCAAGAAAAACGATGGAAAACTTTCAAAGAAATATTAATAAAAGAAGCAGAGAAGATATGGGAAAAAATAAAATGAATGAACATTAAAAAGAAGAAAATGGTGAAACAAAGAAATAAAATTAGTAGTAAAAGAAAATAAAACTGCATGTAGAAAATCTTTTTAGATAAAAACAGAAATGCTAGCATACAAGGTAGGGTTTGCACATCGGAGACATTTTTGGCTGAAATATACTCTTCTATAAAGCCGGCCCCAGACAATGCGAATGTTCCTTCGTACTGCGCCTTCGGCATGCCTTCGGTTACCCTCCCACACACTGAGGCATTTGGAAAATGTTCTGATGTTGTCAAACGTTCGCCGCAGGGCCTTAGTATAGAACAGTAGCGGAGAGCAGTGGACAGTGACGATGCGCAAGCGGCTGCAGTTGTAGCCTGTATGATAATTTTAATAACAAAATAAATAATATAACACGTCGCTAAACTAAACTAAACTAGGCGTAGTTGAGCACACTGTCTGGGAGCTAACGCGAATGAGCGCGAAGGCACTTCGTCTTCCTTTGCTGCGTGCCGTTTTACCGACAAACCTACGGATAGCAAGCGAATGGCGAAGAATAGGTGCAGTTGAGCTCCCACACACTACGCGGAGAACTGCGTATGCCGAATATTCGCGAATTACACGCATTGTCTGGGGCCGGCTTAACATGAAGGAGTTTCTAATGCTTCAACATGCAGCCAATCAATTTTAGTTGATTTCATAGTACCTTAACCTTAGATAAAAACCTTAACAGTTGCAAAGTACCTACAGTATTTTGACATCAATTCTTTTTAAATTATGCTTACTTGCTGATCCATAACCTAAAATGGATATGATGTAGTGATGCCAGAATATATTTTTATGTGCCAGAATTGTCTAAAAAATGCACCAGATTCCATAAAAATTACCAGATTTATCTAATTCCATTTAAAGAAACGATCTGATTCATTAAAGAGCAAAAAAGGTCTTAAAGAGAACGAACAGAAAAAGTATAAGGATGACAACAATTGTACACTCAAATCCTAACATATACTGCTGCATGCAAGGTAAGAAAAGGTACTAGATTTTTCTTTGAGTGTACCAGAGTACCAAATTCTTTAAGAATGTACTAGATTTAGTAAAATTGTAATACTGATCTGATGTACAATCGATAAAGTAAGAAAGAAGTTTAGATCCAATCCCCAACATGTTTTGTAATTATTGAATTCAAAAAATGCAAACCCCTATTGCACCTATTTAAGGATACAGTAGCACACCCCAAACTCTTATATTCGTAACATTTACTAATTTTGATAAATTTATCATAATGCTAATGTTCAGTGATGATGTAATTATGGTTCCACTGACAATTAAAGTGACAGTAGATTTTCTGAGTGCGTTTCGTTCGTTTCGTTTACCTAAATTATATCGTTTTTTTTTTCATTTTTATAAATATATTCCTAAAGTAAGTAGATAGCATGTATCAAATATATAATCGTTTAGTTACCAATTATATACTTTTAAACTATTTTTTAAGACCTGTAAACAATATTTTGAAATAAAATAAAAACAGTAAAAACGTATATGTCAAATTTATTGATGTTTTTGTTAAAAGTTTGGTTAGGATTAAATGTCAGTGGAACCAAAATGACATCATACTGAACTAGCGCTTTAAGAATCCTTTTGTTCAACAGATGGAGCAATAATCCATATTTATTATTTATCCGGTCCAGTTTGGATATCTAATCGACATGGCAACATTGTGCAGTTAAACGGTAACTGTTAAAATAACTTCAGCACCCCGAGCTCCACCGCGATAGACAAACAAGATTCTTGACCATAAAAAATGTTTTGCAG